TTACCGAATGGCTTCTTCGGGATTCCAAAGAACCCTTGGACGACAGCTTGAGTAACAGTCAGACTTTCTCGTGAAAGCTCTCAACGAATAGTTTGATGTAGTACCTCTCGAGCATAAGAATCAATTGGGCCACCCCGAGGCGTTGAAGAGACCAAAAGAAATATTACTAGCGCGAGCTCGAGCAAATCTGTGATCAGAGGAAGCACGGCTGATAAGGTGATAGCACAAGAGTATTCAAAAGTGTGACCTGTTATAGGATTGCAGAAAAGTACGACTTCATCATTCTGATCCATCCATCCCCACACAAAAAAAGACAGCGAGTATGCAGTACAAACAGAGAAAACAATGATAAGATACGATTTTGTTGGCCACAGGCGATACCTGAAAATAAACTCGTAATCCTTATGATATGCAACACAATTCAGAATGCATTGTGGAGTGTCTGGTAGAGGCGTGCCTACGTACTTACAATTCTGCACGCCGTCACCTCTTTCCATTGAAGGGTACCCGCCCCATGGTGCCTCGATTGCTGGAAACAAGGTTAAGGCTCCAAGCAATTACTTTTTTTTACAAAGATGCACTCTATGACAATCTATAGTTATTCTGGAAATGTAGTGCATTCTCATCAGTTTCCACTTTAAGTAGTATTTCATACTACAGGCTGAATGTTCACAAGTAGTCGCCACTAGCACTAATAAATTATATCATACCAGTCGGCTCGCCGGCTAACGCCGGCGCGCCTCCTTCTGATACGGCCCGGCTGCGCCGGGCGGGCGCGGCTTCGCCGCGCGTATTTTCTTTCACATATTTCTAGACTCAACTGATATCCGCCTTTTGTTCTGTACTCCACTTTTTTCCGGTGTCTGAAGTGTTCTGGAACCGTTCTACAGAATTTTTGTCTGGCTCCGCCCACAATATGTATACCCCACATTTCTCAATCGGCGACCCCTTGCTGACCTGAATTCACTTTATTCCGGTCTTCGGAGTGCTCTGGAACCGTTTTACAGACCTTTTTGTCTGGCTCCGCCCACCTCGGAGCAGGCTCCGCCCACAATGTTTTTGCCCCACAATCCTCACCGGCGACCCTCTGCTGACCTTAGTCCACTTTTTTCCGGTGTCTGGAGTGTTCTGGAACCGAGCTACAAACTTTTAAAATGAATACCCTGCGAGGGCAAGCTCCGCCCACTGTGGGCGGGTCTCAACACACTTTGAGCGTGCCCTATATTCGCCAGATATTTACATTCTACACTGAGTCTTTTGCCACTCTCGCGAACCGGGTTACTGAATTTTACTGAATCCGCTTCTCTGCCCTCCCCAGAAGGGAATTCCGGGAGACTGCTCAGTGGGGATGAGAGATGGGTTTTCTATGATTCCAACCCACACAGTACCGTGTGTCTCTCTCTCTCTCTCTCTCTCACAGAGAAGATCCTCTCTAGCAGTCCGACATGTATTCCGAGAGGGTTCTCCTGTGCTGCTTTTGGGACGCGAGAGGGATGCTGCAGAACGAGCTGCCCTGTAAGAACAGACGGTCACCGCCACCATTTATGTCGCTCAGCTCCCGAAACGAGTGAAAATTGTCGGAGAAAAGTGACCAAGACTAGCTTCGGGGCACCCCATTCGTTGTACGCGAGACCCCATACCTGCTTTGGAGACCTACTAAATAATTGAGGAGCAGAGCTGGAGACCAGTACCCGCTCATGATATTCTTCTGACATAGTCCCCTACGACTGCTACCTGCTCCGCCTCCTTAAGGCTTTCTTAGCTAAGAAAACTTTCAGCAATTTTGATGACATCAGTCGAGAGGGCGCTGACTTACTCTACTCGCAGCCTTCTCAGTTCTGGGAGAGGGGGGGAGGGGAATGCTTACCTGTTCATTGGGTGGAGCACTGTAGTGGCTAACTATGACGAGTATATTGTTGACTAATTCCCACTGTATATTGAGTTAGAAAATAAAAAGAAAAAAGTCACAACAGTGACAAGACTTTCCTTCCAACCATATACTAGGGTGATAGTTTTTGAGAAAGGAGTGTACCTCATTGGAAGAACAAGGGCGATGAGGAGATCCAGCGATATCATTAGGAAGGTCATGCATTGTTGACACATCATAAAAATATGGAGCGCCAAAAATGAATAACATGTCCGTTTACGTGGTGAATAGTCATAAATAAGGAACGTTGCCGTCGTTGCTTCAGAAAGAAGACAAATGATGTGATAGAAAGCGTTCATTCCAAGCAACATCCCTGAACCATGTTTCCGTTTTGATACCTGAGAAAGCATAGTGTAAGCAACGTAACCCGTTACCTTCAAACTACAGCTGATATCGCCGCAGTCTATGTAAGGCGGTGCCATGAGGCGTGGAATGAGCTCATCCGCGGCTGTGTTTTCTGCCAAAAGAGGGCATTTAAGAAAGGAAATGAAGGCTGGTAGAAAACACCCCGGATGTGCTCATTCCACGTCGGCATTGCTTCTGTCGGTACTTTTCCCAGCAAGGTGACTCTTCTCTTTATAGGCAGTGATTAAGTCGGGGATGTTTGTGATCACAATGTAAGATTTCGCTGTCAAAAGCACGGTCTCTGACAGACGAAGGTATTTTCGAAACAACAAAAAGGTTCTCACAGATTTTATAACCTCGTCGGGGTATGTATACAAATCAAAGAATGCGAACAGCATCGGTTGCAGTGTGGTTCTAGGATTCGCAGTAGGGGCACGTGTCTGTCGTGTCAGCGTGTCCGAATTTTGGTCACATTTAGTGTCCCTCGTAATCGCGGTAAGAAATTTCCGGAAAAGAAATCTTCTCAGTGATCCCTATCTAGTTGTAGATTAAAAATTACTGGAGCCTCCTAAGAGTTTTCAGGAAAGTTTATAAAGCATTGTCGGCGGATTAAGCCTAAAACTAATCGGGCTTCTTTTTTTTTCGAATACTATTCAGTGGAGCGAAGTCTTGGCAAATTGAGCATAAAATAAGCGAAACAGTTAACACTCGCTAGATGAAGTTTTCCGGCTACAGCGTTGTTATATTGTCTACCGGCGCCTTGATCATAGGAAAAAATTGCACTTGTATATTGTTTTACCTGGCTTAGAGTGAGTAAATTCTTTTCGAAAAGTCGCCCAGAGCAGCTGAACATTCCCGAATACTCCTATGATATTGAAGAAGAATATCTCAAAGATGAGAAAGTACTTGCTGATCAACACACTGGTGTCGATCATTGACTCTGCAACGTTGGGATTCCAAACAGTGAACGATGTAGCGGAGTGAGGATTATTGAAAGTAATCCTTTTTTACGTCTGAGAGTGGATTTTGACGATATAAAAAACACAGGGCAACCAATAATTACGGCAACAAGATATGGTAATAATGGAGATGTGTGAAGCTAAAAAGAAACATGTGGCCACCAAAATATTCTGACCGAAGTATGACTAGCAGAACACAGTATTGCTCTTCGAAGTGGTCTTTGCCTGCAGCTACACTTCTCTGATTCGCCGACACGTCGACTACGCTCACACCTCAGTCTCTCAATTCGTCTCCTCTCTTGTTGTGAGTTGGGTTGTGTGATTGCAACGCGGACATGTTGGTTAGTTGTGTGTTAGTTGTTAGTCGCTAGTTTGTGCATAACCGTTTTCAATACAAACAAGACAATATCTGCAGGAACAAGCACAAGTTTCTGACTTATCGGCCGCACCTAACAAAAATCCAGCGTGGCCACCTAGTCTACTGATTTCCTATCGTGGACCATTGCGAGATCTCCCGCATACACACTTGGAAGTAAAATGTATTTACAGCCCTTCTTCTTCTTCAATGTTTGGAACACGAACACATTTGCCTCCAAACCGCAATCTGTCTCTTCAAACTGACATCAGATCAACCTCTAGCAGAAGAGACCCAGATTTGCGTTTACGACCAGCAAAGGCTCTGCGAACTAACCATTCACTCAAGTAGGTCAAAGGCAGGAGGCTGACCCTCCGAAGTATGCAAGATATATTGTGGAGGTAGGTATATGCATCAAAAGCAGAAAAAGAGATGCCTTAAAGAGGAATGGAACTCAAGTTAAAAGAAGGTCAGAATTCAAGTCCCGGTTATTTGAGTAGGAGGCCAAAACGTCACTACGGCGTTCAAGGCCAAATACGCATTTTGAATTTGAATCACACTTTTATCCCATCAGAGACCACAGCGTACAACACTACGTTGATCACCTTATCATGGAGGAGTGTTACGAATGCGGTCCTTTCATTCTTAGCCTAGAGGATCGGACACATTCTGTACCGACAATAAGGGCAACTCGCGAACGGGAAACGCTAGCTGTGGGACCTGCAATCTCGTCTTTAGTAGTAATAAGGCAAAAAATGTACCCATTTCGGAAATGCTTCGGAAGTAGGAAATGTTTCAAGAAATATGCTCACTCGCGACTCTCTAAAATTCGCAAATCGGTTAGTTGGAGAATTTCTCTATCTTACTGACGCTTACTTGACAGCCTGCACTGTAATAAAAAGTGCCCTATGAAAGCCTCTTATTACAATCAACGTCGACATATAAAAAAATAAGGAGGCAAAGGTAGTAACAGGTCGCAGATCGCACATAGCTTTTCGGTTGCCGAAAGACAATAACAAAGCACAAAAATATGCAGAATAAAATGAGTGATGTGGTGAAAATTGTTCCTTCAGACGTTAAAACAAGCTGCTCTATGGATCCCCGCTGAATCCCACCATAATAAAGGATCCTAATAAAAAGACATCAGATGTGGCAGAACTGTCAGTGGGCGTTCTGCTGAACGAACTCAACGAAAAAGCCACTTGGGAGTACTCCCCGACAAGAGATACACCGCACTTCAAGCAAACCGTACACATCCACGGAAACCACGAATCGCACGAATGAAACAAGGCCGTAGTGCCTATTTTGTCACAGATCTAATATTCGGATTCTGGCCTTTACCCCTTATAAAAACTATATTCCGCACCAAATAAGAATCAACAATAATAACACAATTAATGAACGGAATATCATCAGAACGCACGTCACATCCTACCATGTCTTCTAATCGTCAATGGAAACAAAATCGTTCTCTCCGTAAACACAACCCTTTTCGAAAGCTTCCTGTTTTCACAGCAAATTGGGCTGACCGTATGAATAATTTGATTTATCACATCAGAGATTCGGTGTTTCTTCTGAGTTCAAATACGTACTCGCAATGGACAAATGCCGTCACTCAGCTAAGCGAATAAACAGTAATTTTAAGGCAGCGATTGTTACTCGGGTCTCAGTTGCTTAAACTACCGAAGAGCGAACAGCCAATCTGATCGCCATGTATTGGTTCATCGACTGCAGAGAAAAGTCAGTGATTAGAGAAGTGATGAATTCATGTTACCGTTACTGTCATGTTAAGCACTATATGATTCAGTAATGTTTCTGAACACTTGTTTCAAAGCCAGTCGGATCGCCCGGCTAAGGCCATGCCCTCCTCCTTCTCTTCAGCTGGCCTGGACTTCGCCAGGCGCGCTTCATAATGGAAAGCGGAAGTTGTTCACTCACTGAGCTGCTCATATTGCCTGTAATGAACGAATCGTAACAGACAGAGCAACCCTGCGGATGCTGCACTTCTGAGCACGCGCAACGCATATATTTGCAGGTGTTGTGCTCGGGGGCCATAACGCCCACACAATACATGGACCTGTAGATATAGATAGAAAGTGCGTACAGTCGGCCAATATGATCGCTCAGTGGATGAAGAAATCCCGTTACCTGCATCGAAACGCCTTTAGTCAACGCTTAAATGAAAATGAATTGCATCGCATTATCAGTCAGGACGATAGTGGTATCAAATTCCGGACAGACAGACAGACGTAGAAAATTATATAAAGTAGATGATCTAAATGATACATCGACAACCCTGTGCTACTCTCAAAGGAGCGCACATTACAGTTCCTCCTTCACCCTACCCTTCCTCCCTACTGTAAACCTCACTTGTGGACGCGGTGATGTACTCAGCACGGTAATGAACACTCGTAGGACTGACCTTGGTCCACATATCACGATCGTCCCAGCTTTGTGCAGTACACTCTATGCGTCACTCGAAGTTCGGGTTGAGGTACCGCACATAGCACTTGCTATTTCACGAGTAGCTACTTCACGAAAGAAAAGTCCTTCATACGCGCACACTATCTTGCGCACATATCACATCCTTTCCATAGAGCATGAATATTTCTGCATTTCAGTTTCATGTGTCAGGCTTTATTCTTTCAACACTTCTGTTGCCACATATTTCAAACGGTCATTTGAAATGTAAGCATCAGTGCCAATATCAGATGTCGCAACCGCTACTCTTCCGTACTGTTGACAGTTCGATCGGAGCAGGTTCAGTTTCTCAGTTTGATTCCTATCGTAAGTCTTGAGTGATCGTAGCGCGATCACGGTCGATTCGTTATTTGTGTACAGTCCTCATCATTGCGGACCGGTGGGGCGTGTCAGCCAGTATGAGTGTGCACACTGTTGAAGCCGTTCTCAGCCTTTTTGTTGAAACGCGTATGCGACAAAAAGTGGTAGAAAACGAGTAATACGAAGGATATAATGGAGTACCAGTATGGCTGACGCGCACTATGATCAAACCTATGGTATTGATCACTGACAGGGTTTTCGTGCAGACCACAAACACGTGGCCTAATTCCCACCCACTTTATAAACTGCGGCACATTTCATCACCTTTGATAAACATTTGCCAATGTCTAGTGCTTATCACATTTATAAAAAAACCCAACAATCTTGCCCATAAATTTGAGAGCTTCCTCTCTGACCCACCGTTCCCATCCTACCTCCTATTTCACCGCTTGCAGTCAACGTACTACCGTCGCTGCGGCGCACTTGAATTTAGTCCCTTTCTAGGGCTTTATGATATGTTATCAGCTGTTATCAATTCCTGCCACCCACCAACAATGTTCCCATCCTGTCCCCCCCATCTTACTTTTGGAACCAACGTTCTACAGTTTCTCTGTCTTGAAATTGGTGATCCCCTTCTAAGAACCTATACGGTATCTTATCAGCTATTATCACGTCCCGCCACCCACCAATAATGTTCCCATCCTGCCCCCTGTCCTACTTCTTGGAACCAACGTTCCGCCGCTGCTATGACCTGCGCTACGAAGTTGGTGACCCTTCCCCTCTAAGACCCTTTATGGTATCCAGCTGTTATCACGTCCCGCCACCCACCAATAATGCTCCCATCCTGCCCCCTGTCCTACTTCTTGGAACCAACGTTCCG